AATGTGCAAGTTAGATAATTGCCTCAGAAAGCCCCTCCCCCCAAAAGAAGCCCCTTCCTGCCCTTAAAGTTACAACTCCTCCCCTAACACAGGGAGTGGCCTGCTTACCACTGCGTGCTAGTGCTAGTTAAACAAGTGATGGCAACAAATCAGCTATTCAGATAATTTAGGTAATTTATTTATTTATTTATTTCATGAATTTTGCAGACAGTACTCCTATTATTTATATTTTATAGTGGCGGCAAAACGTCTAGCGCTGGCCATGAAAATGACACTTACGACTTACGAGGTATTTTTATTAAAAAAATATATTGATAAGGACAAGGTTAAATCTTGGGCATCAGCAGAAATCACAATAGAGAACAAATGGTTAGAAATATTTCATCATTTTGAAACAAACCATGTTCCATACAATAATGCACTAAAAATGGTGCGATACACACTGTCCTTACCAGGAACTAATGCTGCAACTGAAGTTTTTTTCTACGGTAAATAAAGTGTGGACATCTGAAAAATCACAATTAAGTGTTGATACTTTGAAAGCCATTTTATGTGTTAAATATAATTTAACAAATTCTTGTGAAAAATTTTATGACCTTTTAAACAACGACAGCAATCTAAAAAAAATTTACTCAAATGAGAAATATGCCAAATAAAATAATATATACATAATTTTTAATGTATTATATTTGTAAATTGTACTTACGTTGAAATTTTTAAAAAAGTACAATACTAGTTTTGCGTTCTATGAAAATTTTTGTTGCTCCATATAGACGAAATTTTTAATTAAGAACCCTCCCCACCCCCCCACCATCCCCCACTTCCGTCAATGGTGTCCCGCTTTACCAATGTTAAAATCTGGTCACCTTAGACTACAGGCGCCCTCCACAACGCTGGGCTATTTTTTTGGTGCAGTTGTCATTGTTGTTTAGCTGGCCTGGGCGGGCTTGTAACCCTCCAGCCTCGGTGCAGATGGCTAGCGCTGTAACCTCTAGGCTACACTACCCTTCGTCACCGGGAGCCGAACTAAAACCTTGGCTCTCGGAAGGCGTGGGCTGCCCTCAGCGCTGCCGGTTCCAGAAGTCCTTGCGTTCAGGCGTTCACCAACGACAGCCCTACGAGGGCAGAGCGGATAAAGGAGGGCAGACCGAGCGGGCTTCGGCGCAGACGTAGTCCGCGCGGTCCTGGGTGCCGCATGCGCAGTGGGTAGAAGCGGTAGTGGCAGCCATGGACGATGAGGAAGAGACTTACCGGCTCTGGAAGATCCGTAAAACCATCATGCAGGTGGGCTGCGAATGAGGATCCTCAGCTTAGCGAATGCAGTATTGGGGAGCAAACGGCGCGTGTTAAAGGCCCGAGGGTGGGGTCTCCCCGAGCGGCTGGTCGGGCGAACACCCGGGTCCCGAGGCTGCCCTCGGGCCCCAGTGCCAGGTCTGCCCAGGGCTTGCGGTGCCCAACCATGCCTGCCCGAGCTGGCATCAGGAAGGGATTGGGATTCCGAGCGTTCCTGCCTCCGGGGTCAGATGTGGGTTTAGGACTGGCGTAGCACGTGTGGGTGGATGCCAGAGAAGGAAAGTGGGGATCAGGCGCACACCTGCAGTTTCTGCTCAGCTCTACCACGCATCTGCGTGGTTCTTTTCTTTTCCTCTTTTTTTTTTTTTTTTTTTTTT